GTGTTTGTGTGTGTGTGTGTGTGTGTGTGTATATGTATGTATATATTGTTATTCTCAGTATGAAGTCTGTTTTAGCTTCAGTGTCTACTTGCTTCTACCAGTTTAGTACAATTAACCCCTTTAGCTTTGGATTTTTGATTTACAGCCATGCGACTGCCATCAGATTTTGATATATTTGTGTGTCTATTAGAAAAAAAGGCAGACGAATTACCTCAGAGAAGTAATTTTCTAAGAAAGTCATATTCATTCCTCCTTCACTGTACTCTTTTACCGTCCCTCCAAAGACCCCTTTTCTGTCCATTGTTCCAGAAATTGCACCAGCTGTTGCATAACCTGTAGCTGTTCCATAATCTGTAGGTTGATGACCAGTCCCAAGCCCTGTAGTTTCTTCAAACCCTGAACCTGCTGTTACTCCTCCTCCGTATGCATTTGTATAAATATCTGAAAGCAGAAAACCTTGTTATCCCAATATACATCTGGAGTGGAGGGGGAAGGGAGTCAGTTAATTAGCTCTTCTGATGAATTTATGATTTGATTTCTAGAAGCGTTCTGTAAAAACTAAGCAATCAACTAATGGCAGTTTGCATGGGTGTTAAGCATACAGATGCTGGTGCTATCATGCTAAACATTGGAATCCAAATAAGTATATACCAAAACACATGCACACTCTAATAACTAATTTTCTGTACAACTTTGGGCATATATTTGCATGCACACTATGCTTGAGTAAATACTTGATTTGCATATGACTAAAAAATACCTATGTTTTCAGGTACATGCACAAATTAGGGACTTGCATGAGGATATAAATGCATAAATGTATACTGATAGTTTCACTGAAAATTGGTCCTCGTGTCTCGGATGTTAGGAGCAGAAAGAACTTTAAATACTTTGCCAAGAAGGGTGCTCTTGTGATCCCCTTTGCATTTTCTAGTGATAAAAGCAGAGCTGCTTTCAGAGAGAAAATAAGAAATATTAAGCATATAATTTATAGTATCTCTGATGGAAAGTGAAATATTTTGAATCAGATATTAGGGGTGTGCAAAGCGGGCCTATTTGATTCAGATTCAGCCCGAATCAGGGACAGCAATTAGACTCATTGATTAGGATCACTGTCCCTGATTCAATTCGGCTGAATCCAAATCTGAAGATTCGATGCTGATTCAGCAAATCAGTGATTTGAACGCAGACACATCTTTAAAAGTTTTTTTTACATACCTTGAGGTACCAGCGTGGCTTGTGAATGCTGCGATACTGGGGCGCATGGAGCATCCCCCAGGGCTGCGGGGGGGGCCTTCCACGTGCTTGACAACAAACGTGGAAGTGGACCGGAAGTACTTCCAGTCCACTTCTGGGTCTGCCGGGGAGCATGCTGGGCCCCCCCGCATCTCCCTGGCTTGGCGATCAGCTGCAGGGGGACTTCACGTACCCGCCCAAGACCCAGGAGGCACCAGTCACTGAGCCAGAGGGGCGGGGGCCCTGTGCGCTCCCCGTCAGACCCAGAAGTGAACCAGAAGTACTTCCAGAGGTACTTCCATCCCACTTCCAGGTCTGCTGCCAAGTGCGCTGGGGAGTCCCCCACACTTCTGTGGGACACTCCATGCACCCCGGCATTGCAGCACTCATGAGCCTAGAGGCATGTAGAAAAAACATTTAAAGCTGTCTCTGTGTCTGAATCTCCAAATCTTTCCGAATCTCTCCGAATCAATTCGGAGGGTTCCAATTCAATTTGGAGAGATTAAAGGGTCCTCTGATATGATTTGGATTTGGAGATTCAGCCACCAAATTGGGCTGAATCTCCACCGAATCAGGGACCGAAGCTTCACACAGTCCTATCAGATATGGTTTCTTCGTAGCAGAGAGGCATTATTTGCTGAAACATGGCCACTTATGTTATAAAATCTAAAGAAGGTTAGCATCTGCTTACCAGAAGGGTCAGCAAAGTCACCTGGAGGGTCAGTAGTTGCTGGTAGGAGAATATTTGAAACGTCCTAGAAAACAATAGTTTAGCTTGTTTAGTTGTGTGATAGTTTAGTCATATAAAGATCAATATTTTGGGTGATTTTCCATATTTTGTTCTCTTTTCACCTTACTCATTTTATAGTTCATGATACATGTTAAAAGGAAATGTCAGCTGTAATCCTTTACAAAACCTGAGTCTGATCTGCAGCCTGCAGTCTGGTTACTAGACTCCGGTCATAATATAATGGAAGTCAATGGATCTACTTGTCTGAGTAATGGTTAGTAATATCAGGCACCTTTATTTTGACAATAATGCACCATAAAAAGTCACTGTCATCACCACCACCACCACCAAATCTAGACTGTACAACAGGCTTAATTTTATGTGCAAATGACATTTGGCTTTTTACAAATATTGAACTGACCCTGTCTTCTGGCTGTGCTCCTTCTATTCCCCATGAATGAATTGCCCCTTCTGTGTATTCAGGTACAGGTTCAAATCCAATCCCAGCTCCACTTGTAGGTCCTGGTCCACAACCACAGCAATCACACATTGACATCAAAATTGGAATCACTGACAAAGAAAGATATAGAAAGTCACACATTAGAAAACACCCCTGGAATTCCATCTATGAATACTTATGTCTCCATCTAAATCTCGTTTTTCCAAATGGCAGTTGCTTAACATTATCTGAAAATCTGATCCCTTTAAAAAGATTGCAGATTGAACACACTAAAGCTAGAGCACTCAATATTGATCATCACTTTTGAAAATGTGTATACACTAGTATATCCACCAAGTGAAATTCTGCTCTCCCTTACACTGGCGTGAATCTGGAGTAGAGTCAGGTTAAGCCCTGCTGCTTGCTGCTGACCAGCGGGGAGGCAAAAAAGGTGCCATGTTTAAAACCGTGGTTTTTGCTTCCCTGCCAATCGGGAACAAACAGCAACCAGGGCCCCTCCACTAATCAGTGATGGGGGGTGGGGGGAAGAGGGGGGAAGGGCACATGGGGGAAGAGTAAAGGAGCCACAGAACACACCACTTCTGCTGCAAACTTGATACAGCCCTATTTATATATATACATTTTCCTCTGAAGGCATTGTAAAAGACTAAGCAAAAAGAAATTGATTTTACTGAAGTCTGCAGAACAAAAGATATTTCAGATACTGTATCACAGACCTGACTTATATACCACAGAATTCAATGGAAACATTCCCATTGACTACAGTGGACTTTGAAACAGGCTCCAAAGAAATCTTCATAAAGATTCGCACAATCCCTTCATACAAAAACAAATCTAATAAGTGATTAGATATGTATTTCCAGTTGAATGCCGTAATCACTAGGCTACATAGTTATGTTCTCTGTTTCTGGCTCCAGGACTGTTGTGTTTTCAGCTGCAGAGTATGCCAGATTCTTCAGAAGAAGGGATAGAGACTTCCCTTTCCCTTACTCTATTTTATAATTTTGTGTTTAGGCCATACTCTTGGAAGATGTGGATTTGAATCCCCTTAGCCTTGTGGGGAGGGGTACTGTAATACAAATCTCCCAAGACCCTGAGTCAGTGCTCTATAGACTAGGCAAAAAGTCTAGTCACCACAACCAGTCAGCAAGGAGTCCACCATCAGAAGATCACAGAATAATAGGAAAGTAGAACTGGAAGGGACCTTGTGAGGTCATCCAGTTCAGCAGCCTGCTCAAGATAGAATCATTTCCCTATAATTACCCTTCAAAAAGTATTTGTATTATTGAATCTCCCATCAGTCTTCTCTTCCCCAGACTAAATAATCCTAGTTCTTTCAGCTTGCCTTTTAGGCCCCTAATCATTTTTTTCACTCTTCTTTGGTTTCTTCCCAATTTGTTCACATTCTTTTTTGAAGTGTGGGGCCCAAAACTGAATACACTACTCCAGGTAAGGCTTCACCAGTGCCTAATAAAGCAGCAGAATCACTTCCCTTGATTCGCAAGTGACACTCCTGTTAATATAACTCAGGATGCCCTTGGCTTTTTTTGCAACAAGAACAAACTGTTGGCTTATATTCAGCTTCTGATCCACTATAAACACAAAGTCCTTCACTGTAGCACTGCAGCCCAGCCAGTTGTTCACAGTCTATATTTGTTCAAGCAATTATTCCAAGTACAGGATTCATGTCACTGGGTGCATCTACACTTGCTATTAATGCACCTAAAATCCTAAATGAACTCTGGTGCAGTTTTTGCCCGAATGTGTTGTTCCTGGGCACAGTGTTTACACATGCACTTGGGACCACACCATGCTGAGCTGGAGTGGAGCAGCCTCAGCTGGCAGAAGGTTTGGGGAATCAACCTCTGAGGCCAGAGGTGCTTTGCTCCAGCTCAGTGTGCTGCGGAGAGGCTGGCTGGGGCAAAATGGTGCTACATTATGGGGCTAGTTGGCAGGCAGCCCCCATACTGTAGCACCCTCATGCCCCAGCCAGCCCCAGTCACTGTCTATACATGCATTGCAGCTCACTAAACTCCACTGTAGGACAATATTTGTCCCCAATGATGCTATTCTACAGTGTAGTTAATTCATTTACTACACCCTAATAGGTGCACATGTGTAGAGTGTGATGCTTTACTGAGGAGCTAATTAGTTGACTGCAATAAAGCACGTGTAGATGAATGAAGACCATTTTTCCAGTCGTTATATCTCTGTTCATAGGCACCTCAGTTTACTGCATAAAGAGTCCAATTTAGGATTCCCTCCTGGTGCCAGATACACACTTTTTATACATTGAGCTACCCACCTGGAGGTGCATAAGGAACCAATCTAGATGTGACCAGTAAAGCCTACTGTTGCCCAGCTTCTACTGTCACTTAAATGTTCCAAAACCTTTCTGATCCTGCTTCAGTTTCCAATGGTTTGAATGGGAGCTGCATACTACCCTTTTGGTAATACTTGAGGGAATAGCTAAAGATAAGGAAAGGAATAATTGCTTTTGCATGTCCTAGATATAACATTTCTATTATTCAAAAGATGCATCTTTCTTTGCCACAGTGACACTGTGCTTCTATAATTCAACAAAAAAGGGCAAATTATTTTAGGTGGATTAAACAGAACTTTGGTATAGGAATTTAATTAAATAGGGAACTTAACCGAATACTTACATACAAGTATTAAGCCACCAAGAAACATCAGGCCAACAGCAGCAGCACTAAGTGTAGTAAGTCCACCAAATCTTGCTCCAGGTTGAAAGCCACCAAAACGGCTGGTATCTTCATAAATACTGCTTACACCATACTCACTATACCCAACGGTTGTACCTGTGCCTTCACTGATGGTACCGGTAAAACCAGTGTCGCTGTCGTCATAAATAGTGCCACCATCACCACCATCAATGCTGCCGCCGCCGCCACCAGCGCTGCCGCCACCACCAGCGCTGCCGCCGCCACCACCAGCGCCGCCGCCGCCACCACCAGCGCCGCCGCCGCCGCCACCACCAGTGCCAATTCCACTGCCTTTAATAATAATTACTCTGGTAGCACCCTCTGTACATCTTCTGCTGGTATCACAGCGACAGGCTCTGACTGGTATTAGATGTGGTTGTACACATCTTCTACCTCTGCGGTCTGTCACATAGACAGGGATTTTATAAACAGCATATTCCATATTCTGAGCCACCAGCTGTGCAGAATAATCTGGAAAAAAGAATAAAATAAATATTAATAGATTTAGGATTCTGCTTTAGAATCACTCTGCTCTAGAGCTTCTGTGACTATTCATTATTACAGTGTTCACAATAAAAAATACTAAACTAAAGAACAAGAAGGCATCTTCCTGCTATACTCCTCCTTACAGTCATTCATTAGTCACAACTATTTTTTTTAGGTTGAACTTTCATGTTCTTAGGCCAAAGGTAACTTATTTTAGGCAAATCTGAGTTAAATAAGTTCAACTACTTTTTGGTTTGTGGTATATAAAAGGGAAATAGTAGGGTAGTCAAAGTACTGGAATCTGGGGGCAGAGTAGAGAGAATTAAATAAGACCATAGGAGTTGCAAGAGAGAAAATAATGAGATGATTTGTTGAAAGTTTGATTGTCTATGCACAAATGTCAGGAGTATTGGCAGTAAACAGGAAAACTTGGACATTCATGACTTAATCAGCGTCACAGACACTTGGTGGGACAAATTGCAGTACTAGAAGATTTTTACGTAAGGGCATACGTAGTTTGTTTAGGGAGAAGAGGCAGCAGAAAAAAAGAGGAGTTGCAATATGTATCAGGAATATGTAAACACACTTGCTTTGAAGTTCAGGAAGAGGTGAGAGGAAGCCTTGTTAAATGTCTCTGGAGGTTGTTAAAAAGGGGGATAGAACAGTAGTGATGTCATGGTAGAGGTTTAACTTCAGAACATCTAATCAGGGGGAGGAGGTAGATGCAGCTCTCTGAGCAACTAGTAGAAGCAGCCAAAGGTTAGAGCTTGATTTAAATGGGACACTCTATACAGAACCCACTGGAAAAGCAGTAAGACAACATAGCAACTTAAAAAGTCCATCAGGGCTTTGGAACACATTGGTAACAACTTTTTTTCGAAAAGTGAAGGACATTTCTATGGAACTAGTTTAGATTCCTTTCTAACTAATGAGGGAAAGCTGGTCAGAACTTGAAAGGTAGAAAATAATTTGGGTGAAAGTGATCTTTAAATGATGGTAGCCATTATTCTAAGAACAGGCATGAAAGAGAGAAGCAGAAAGAAATAATAGATTAAAAAAAACCCCCTTCAACAAATTTGAGAATCGGTAGGTAGGGCCTTAAGAACATTACCTAAAGCATAAGGAGAGCTAGCAGTTGCAGAAAAAAGACTATACTGAAGCAGAATAGCAAAGTATGTGATGCAAATGAAAGATAGGAAAAAAACAGTAAGTTACCATTACCAGGCACACTTTAGTAGCTCCAAATCAAAAAGATGAAAAATCAAAAAACACACCCATGACTACACACATAGCACAAATATTGATAAATAAAATCAAAATGGCTAATGGACAAAATCAGTTTCAGCTAAAAAAGGACCTAAAAAGCACATGAAAAAGTTTTTATAAAGTTTTATAAATACATCTGAAACAAGACAAAGTAAGATAAAAAAGTATTCCATCGCTAAAGTGAGGTGATGATGGAGAAAAGGCTGAAGAATTCAATACCTTCTTTGCTCTTTCCAAGAAGTATAATATGACAAGGAACACAGAATGGAATAGAGAAAGAATACAGTTAAAGAACATTTAGATAGCACAGTTGCATTAAGTCAATAGGGCCTAACAAACCTAAAACTATGTTTAAAAAAGAGAGAAAAAGGAGGTCTGCGGGAGTTATAAACTAGTTAGTCTGACTTCAGTTCTTAACAAGACACTAAAACAAATATTTAATCAATCTGTTATAATTACATATTGAAAAATACAGTGATTAGAGAGAGCCAATATGAACTTGTCAAAAAGATTTGTTAAGTGTAATGGATAAGGAAGAAACAACAGATGTTTCTGATCTTGAACACTGAAACGCACATGTGAGATTTTTGTAAGCAAATTAGAAAAATAAGATCTGATGAAATATCCGTTGGGAGAGGGAAGAGGTGCATAACTGGTTAAAAATAAAAGTACTCATAGGCTAGGGACAGATATTCAAAAAAGGCCAAGGCAAAATCATTCAAAACTTCCCAGGTTTCCCTCTGCTGCATAGAATGGATTGGGAGTGACCAGAACAGATGTGCTCTGGGAGTGGGGGAAATGCAGATAGCTACACTGGCCAAGGTGAGTAGGCTGGGGGTAATCTCACATGCCTCCCAGTGTGCCAGAGACTGTGCAAGGGCAGCTGAATGCAGCCAATTGGCAGGTCACCCCTGGTTGGATGCCTGGCACACCCCTGCAAACCCCTGACTGTCAGTTGCAGGGAGAAGGGGAGCCAGCACAGAATCTCTCCCCACAGCCCCCTTCCAGCCATTGGAGGAATGGCCGGCACACATCCGCAGAGTTACCAGGTGCTGAAGCTGCCTGACTGCAGCCTCCTCTTTCAGATCACCTGCTGGGTGCTGCAGTAGCTAGGCCAGCTGCTGGGAGAAGCTTGAGGTGGCTGGGAGAAGGAGCAGAAGCAGGTTCCCTAGGAGGAGCCAGCTGCAGGCTGGCCATAGGCTGCATCAATGCTGCTGGCGGAGCAGAGCTGCCTTGGCTCTGACTGCACCTGGGTCAACCTGCACCTACCTGCCCTGCAGCTCTGCAACCATCCCAGTCAAGCAGCACATGAGGCAGCTGCGTGGGGCCCAAGTTCACCAGCTAATGCACTGCAAGAAGGGAAGCAGCCCCAGCCCTGGAAGATCAGGTAGCCACCACCTGTGCACCATGCATCCTCCTCCTCAAAGAGACAGCAGCCTATCTGGCAGCAAGGAGTCCATACCTCCTTCCTCCATGGCCAGAGTGTGGATTGGGCCCCCTCTTACTTCCCTCCCACCCTTGATCTTCCTCAGCAGCAGCTACATGTGAGCCTTGCCTCTTGCAGTACACAGCACAGGGGTGAGAGGGGGCACAGCCATGGCCTGGTGTATGGGGGAAGGGGCCCCAACCCCTCTGCTCCTGGTTGTGGGAAACCCATAGGGAAGGGAAGGGTTTAAGGGACAGGGGCAGGGGAAGGGGCAGGCCCTGCTTTAGTTTATACTGTCTGTGTGTGAGACCCTTGCCTTCATGCCAACCCCTTCATGTGTGTCCCAGTGTGGAGGTGATTGTCTTAGCGGGAAAACAGACACCAGGTCTTTTTCTTTCCTCTTTATGAAGCAGAATTAGGCCCCCCAGACCCAGTCAGGTAGAGGGGCCCCAGGAAGAGGGCCCCCAGACCCAGCTTCCCCCCAACTCATCGACCAGCCCAACACAACTTCTTCCCCAGGGGGTGGGTCAGTCAGCAGGGGCGGGGGGAAGCCCCCATCATGCACCCCCCAGCTGTTTTGACTGGGTTTGTGGGCCTCCACTTTGCACCTCTGCTGCATGGCCTGGCTGACAGGCACAGGCAGGACACTGAGATATGGACAGGGGCTTATCTGGCTGTGTCTGTGACAGCCCAGGATAGGGCTGGCTTGGCACTTGGCCAGAGCAGATGAGCACAGACTGAGGCTAACCCACCCACCCTGCATGGGGGGGTAGTGGGGGGCCTGCAAAGCACCCTGGGGTGCTGGGGGACTGCGACCTAACTTGAGTCAGGAGGGAATCTGGGACAGAAGTTCGATAGACTGGTCTAACCCAAACCAATTAAATCTCATACTACATTCATCCAGGTCTATCTTGACTGGGTTCTGCCATTTTTAAACCAGTCTACGTACACTGAACTTCTGTTACGTGTTTAGACTCATTTTCGATCACTTATATCTGTTTATGTGTAATTTCTATACCTAGGCATCTAATACTAATCAATGGTTTTCTCTCAAACTGGGTGAATGTTTCATGCGGTAACCCACAGGAGTCTGTCCCAAGACTGATTCTACTCTGAATTTCATTTCAACTTGGGCAACAGAAGAGAGAGTACACTTATAAAATTTGGAGATGACAATAAGCTGGGGAGGTCTGCAGTACTTTGGAGGACAGTATCAAACTTCATAATGATCTTCATATGATCTTCATATTGTAGAGTGGATACAAAAATCAACATGATGAAAGTCAATACAGACAAGTGCAAAGTGCTATACCTAAGAAGTGAAAATTCAGTGCAGTGTAAAAAGCAAAATGCAGAATTATTGGCTCATCAGTAATAGTTGAGGAAATAATTCAGAACTTGTAGTAAATGACAAAGTAGGTATAAGTTAATAACTTAATGTTATCACAAAAAAAGGAAAGACAGAGTATTACTTTTGTTTCCTATCATGAAGGAAAATTTTTATTTGTGACAATTAGTTATAAAAAAATAACTTTCCTTACCATTTATGGATCTGATACGCCATACTTTGTGAGGCTGACCATCTATGCTAAAGGTATATGGGGCACCATCTTGCTCTTGTGCTTTGATAACAATTGATGGTGAATCCATACACATATCCCTCATTTGAATATTAAGAGTTGGACAGTCACTACTGAAATCTGAAACTCTAAGCACAATGGTACCAGTGGCAGTTTTTACAGGTTCACCTGTAACAATAAAGAATCTCTGTTATAATATTTAGGATGGAGATATCAGTGCCAAGCTATACATATTTTATTAATCATTTATGCTGAAGTCTAAAATGCAGCAAAATTAATGCTTTTTCTAAATTCTATAATTCAAGAATCAACCTAAATCCGGAAAGCTTCAGCCTATTTTGAAAAAGTAGGCTTGTTTGTCATTTTGGAAGCAGTACAAAGAAGATGTTGTTTTTACCTTTTATCTCTTCATTATGAAACCATTTATTTTAAAACTAAATAGATGTTTATGATGTCCTTTCTTTCCACACATATATGTGTATACACACTCACACACATATACATATACATGCAAATACACACACACACATCATATTTAGTATAAGGGGCTGATCTCATAAACAACTGTGTATATGTACTACTTCTTTAATTAAAGTTATTTCCAGGGGGCTGCTAGGAATCCTTTTCCAGTGAAGCTATAATGGCATACTATACCAGTAAAATACACCCATAGAAGCAACTTCAAAAAAAAAGGAAAAAAAAAACATTTAGATGTAGGGGCAAACTATTCTTTGGGAATGCCCTTAGTCCCGTTCCTTTGATTCTCTGGCCCCTGGCACACATTACAGTTATGACATAATTAACTTCTGAATTGCTCCATAAACAGTAACAGTGGCACATATTCACTGAATGCATGGTGCCATAAAATGGCAAAAGGAAAAGTAGAGATGCATCTTTATATGCTAACTAGATAAAATGTCCATAGAGAACACAAACTTTCATGAACTCAACTTCACTTTATCTGCGCTGTGAAAAAGGATGTGCAGAAAGCAGAGTGTAAGAATGACAGAAAAATTTAAGTATAAAAGACAAGAGGGTAAAGGGGGTAGAGAAAGATGGGGGGAGAATAGCAAACCAGACACAAAAATACTCAACAAAAAATATGAAACACCTTTGTGGCTGGTTTATATGGCACCATAAACTGACATGTAGCATGCTTCATCTTGTCAGTTCTGGCAATTAGTTAATTGCCAGCATCCAGACCTGGGCAGATCCTGGTTTGGAACCTGGTGGGGGTCTACCTTGCTCCTGATGCTGACAATTGCTAATTGCTGGCAGCAGGACATTGGCTTGCTGGAACCTTGCAGGTTTGCTGTAGGGCTACAGGGCAAGGCTCTTTATATTTCAGACAATGGTAAGTCTTAGGAGGCTTGCTGGGACCTGATTGTCAGCCCCATCCTTGGACAGACCCAGGTTTGGAACTGGATCCAGGGCTGCCTGATCAACAACTAGCTGATTGTCAGCACTGGTCCCAGTACTAACCCCTGATAGGGGGAAAAGCTAGTTTTTCAACTGAATAAAATTTTTTCATGAAAAATATCTGCTCACCGAACATTTACTATTTCCATTAAAATATTTCAGCTTAAATCTCAATTTTTTTGACTCATAATAAGAATTGTAGCGCTTTAGGAAAATTATTTGCTTCCTGTATCTCTTTTCTCAATCATTTGGGACCTCCCAGCTATGGCTTCCACCACAGCTTCATAAGAGTGGCTGACTTGAAGATATACAGCTTCTTCTTCTCAGGAGGGGAAGACTGCAATATATTGTGGACAGTTAGTTCAGCTGGAGATCCCACCCAAAGAGAATGGTGACTGGAGGAATGAAATGCACCTTCTATTTTGGGCAGAAATATTTTACTCTTCAGGCAAGACATTTTGGATTTTAAGTTTTAAGTGAAAAAAAAACACATTTTTTTCCCATGGAATAACAGTTATATCTTACATGTTTTGTTCAGAAAGCATGTTTAGCATGATACATTATGAGTACTCAAATACTGGAGTGGGAAGTTCCTTGAACCAAATGAAATTCTAATGCTCCCCCCCGCATTTTCTTACCTATAGTAATAGCCAGAACTTCTGCTTTGTATTCCCCCTTGGTAAAAAAAGTTGACTGCTGATTAACTGCTTTTTTCACAATGAGTTTTCCAGTGCGTGAGTCGATCCAAAATAGATTTGCTGTATCATGTCCCATCATATACCTGTTTACGATTTACAGACATTTTCAGAATTATGTTAAATACAGAGCCAGATACTCAGCTTGTATATATTAGCATAATTTTACAAGCTTTACTGGAGAAACACATAATGATACATCCCCAACTTAGTTTTTATTAACATTTTTCATTATCAGTTTAATCTATAGTAAAATTTAACATGTAGGATAAACACAGAAATACAAAAAAGTATCTTAACAGTGACATGATAACATTTGTTGGACCTTAAAAATACACAGCATCATAATCTATATATTGTCTTTCCTTTTTCAAATATAGTTAGGATATTCAGCCATTCAGAGGATCCAGTGACAATTTAAATCTGAACAACAGAACCCATATGCTCTTTCTCTGGAATTCCTGACAAACTCTAACATTACATAGTTTGTTATGGTTTTAATAATACTTGTCATTTTGAGGTGCTTTTATATTCAGTGGACTCTTTTTCATACACAGCTACTGGGCTGAGGAAAGCCTATATATTCACCCAGGGCAAGTACTTATCCAAACTTAATATAAACCATCAGCGCTATTTCAATAAATAGCACTATCAGTGCTGTGATATTAACATCCCAAATTATCTAGCTCCTCTTACTTTCAAAACCTTGAATAGTTCAGACTACTATCCAAAGGTGAACTAGCCGATTTTAGCCGTAAGGATTTGCTCAAGCTCAAGGCTTGCCTGACTGGGTCCAACTAGGCCTGAGTACCTGGCTGGCTGAAGAATGACAGGCCTCCAGCAAAGCACAGCATGCTGGAGCTTTGAACTGGCTTCCCTGTGGTGCTGTTTGTCACTCCCACTGGAGTCATCCGTGGCAGCTTCCAGAGGTGTTCACTTCCCAGGTACGTTATATTTCAATCATAGTAAGCATTAATTTGTGACTGCTCAGAAAATTTCTAGGGTCATAGTAATGCTTGCTATGATATACATTTAACACGTGCAAAGGGCCCAACGTGACAATGGCTACAAATGTTAAGTTAACACTATGCTAGTGGGAAGAACACTCCCACTCTTGCTCCCACCAGTTACATTCAGAAGCATGGAATCTAATAGTAACTAGTCTGTTTCATAGCTACTATTAGGAGTCTTGAAAATGAAAGGAAATAGCCACCATGATATTAACTAGCCCACATCTATTTTAGGTTCTAAATAGCAGCTCTCTGAGACCAGCTTTCCCTCCATCATTTCTGGCATCAATTGTTAGGCAGTTAGAACTACATGACAAAGTAGACTGATGAACTGAAAAACGCTCTGTATTTAAGATGTTTATGCTCTTAACCAATATGCAAATAATTGTTGGCCAAAATGTAAGCAAAAGGCAAAACATTGGGACTGGCAGTGATTTATGTCTCATATAGGCTGCATGAATAACTGCACGTTCTAGACTGGGTCAACACACCAACTAGATACCCATGCAGCTACTATGCACAGGGTCCAACTCTACAAAGGCATATAAATAACCATATTTTAAAAATATTTTTAAAGAAAGTTTTAACTAAGCAAATTAGGCACATATCAGATAGGATGGTAGAGTATTTTGGACATTAAATGCCAGAGTTTGGAGTCTTTATTCAGGCAAAAAAACCATTGGCATCAAAAGCATTTCATGAATACAGTCTAAGGATAGAAGGATTTGGCTCTATTTGCTCCAAATCTAGACTACTGCTACAGTTATGTGATGTAATACTAAAAGGAGGCCTGTCCCTGAGAACCCTTACTAATATGGGTTACGACTGATATCCATTGAGCCAGACCATAGCTGTATGACACAAGATCATACAGATGTTTGGCTTTGCATATTGTTGCCTGTATAACAAAATATTTCCAAACTCTGTCTGTTCCTATTATGCAAGTGTACATTTATCTATAAAGATTCATGTGCATTAAGGAACCAATAATGCACACTTTAATCAATTATAAAATACCCGTTGTTTTAAGTTAGAATAGATTTAGAGCTATTTTTTTTTATTACAATTTGAGGTGGCTATAACTTCATACATAGGTTACTTAACACTCCCCATTATAAAACACGTTGCTTTTTGGTGTTATTTTACCAGTTTTAACAAATCCATTGTTTAGGTTCATTACAAATGTGAAAGGTCCCTAGAGAAAAGAAACCTTGCCCAATGACATTCCATTCTGGTGTAACTGAGTTATAAACTACTGGAAACTATTTCCCGTCTCATGCACATGAGACTGAGAACAGTTTGGGGGTAGTGTACTGAAATCACAAGTAAACACGAACAGTCTAAATAGCTGGGTCTTTGCTACCACCAAAAGAGCAACAGCAGTAGTAGCAAATAGGGCTGTGTGAGGCTTCAGACAGAGCTTCGGATCAGAAGACACTTCGGACGCTTTGGGGAGGGAAGCAGCACGTCCGGGGCGAAGTGCTGCCTCGTTCGGCTTCCCGAAGCGCTTCGGAGCCGCATCAGAGATCAGGCCGTAGGGTATAATGGGGAAACAGTAAAATATCTATAACTTTGCTGTTTTTTGTCCTATTTGGATGAAATTTTCTGGGATGGTAGACTCTGAAGAGAGGATAAAGCCTGCCAAGTTTCAAGAAGATCAGTGTGGGGGCTTGGGGGAAACGGCACCCCACATTCTTGAAAGCAAAACTCCTGTCACATCTAGGCGTTACAACACAGCAGGGTGAAAACTGCAGGGATGGTAACTCTTACTGCGGCCACAAAGCCTGCTAAATTTCACGAAGATCGGTGTAGAGGTTTTGGGACAACTGTACCTCAAATTGTTGAAAGCAAAACTCCTGTCACGTCTATGTGTTACAACACAGGGGGGCGTCAAAACTGCAGTGGTGATAGCTCTTGCTGAGGCCACAAAGCCTGCCAAGTTTCAAGAAGATTGGTGCAGGGGTTTGGGGCAAACTGCTCCTCAAGCTGCTGACAGACAAAACTCATGCCATGGGTGCTGTGGGACTGACCCCTGTCCGTCTTGGGGCGGGGAGGGGAGACACCTGGCTGATAAGCTGCTGTGTTCCCAGTTACCAGTCAATCAATCATGATTCACTCAGGGACCAGGGACCAGGGACCCAGGGACCAGCTCAATACACAGGACCTAGCTACTACATAATGACTTAATGAGCATCAATTAGCACCTACAAAACCAGGCTAAGGAGAGGAAAGAATCAATACAGACAATCAACTGCCCCAGGACAGACACAGTCTTGGCACGAGTTTTGCCTGTCAGCAGCTAGGGGTGCAGGGCCCCAGAACCCCCCTGCACCGATCTCCTCAACAGCTGGCAGGTGTCACAGCAGGGGCTACCATCCCTGCAGCTGTCACCCTGCTGTGCCTTAACACACACAATGTCACCCATGGCAGAGTTTTGCTTGTCCGCAGCTCGGGGTGCAGTTCCCTCCAAACCCCTACACTGATCTTTTTGAAACTTGGCAGATTTCATGCACACAGCACAGGCTACCATTCCTGCAAGATTCATCCAAATCAGACAAAAAACAAGAGTTACAGATATTTCATTGATTCCCCATTATACCCTACGGCCGGATCTCCAAGGTGGTTCTGAAGCTTCGGAGCTGCTTTGGCCAGACTGAGGCAGAAACCCAGTCTGGAGCTCCAGATCGGATCACTGCCATCCAAAGCGGCTGGATCTGAAGCTGGATCAGATCACTGCCGACTCGCACAGGCCTAGTAGCAACACATTACACAAGCAACATGGGAGATGCTGCAGCAACTGTGTTAACTAGTTCCGTGTTTGGAGGAGAGGCTTCTTTTTCAGCCCTTTTGCACTGAGTTCTCAGATGCTCTCACCAGTATTCAGGATGATTACTACAGAAAGGCCCAAAAAAAGTAAAGACAGCCTCACCTGATATTTGTGGCAATTTGTCCAGTGTCTTCATCTGTGGCTGAATATATTCCCAAAACCTGATTAGCTGATATGCTTCCTGATACAGGACAGGTCATTTCTGACGGATAAAATCTTGCCCCCTCAACCTCATTTTGCACTTCAATAACACAGAGAACTCCAGCAGGTTTGTAAGAAGTAGCTACAGATTTGTGGAATGCATTTACATTTCTAACAGCAATACTCAGTGGGCGAGTTGACAAGTGTTCATAATTCAGTTCCTAAAATGTAAGAAACAATGAAACAGGAACGAAGTCAAATCCACACATTCTTATTTTATGCATTCATTGGTGTATATGTATATCTATATGTCTGTATGCAACTGTAGCTGGGAAGGTATCTTGAGAGTCAGGCTTGGCTGATTTGTGAAAGGGTCTGCTTCAGGGAAAACCAGTAAAAGTAAGGCTGGAGAGTAGGATATGCCTGTTTTGCCAAATTCAAGTTGCACAAGAATAAAGCTGCTAGTGAACTTTTGGAACCCAGCAGGGTAGGCATATCCCCTGTCTCTGAGGTCATAACACAAATAGCCAGCCTGTTTGGCCATGCAGCCACCCAATATACTTCAGCTCCATGACTGTGCAGGAGGAGCTGAAGCCCATTGGCCATACAAAACTCCTGGACACTTGGAGTGCATCCAGATGAGTGCACACATGTGGTTTGCAGTGCCTCAAAGCTGAGGATGATGTAACTCTAGTCACATAAAGGCACTAGGCCCTAGTTACAAGATTATAACACTATTTCAGTTAATGTTTGCTTTCTTTTTCAATTTACTAAACTATATCTAACAACAAATTATAGAAATATTATTTTAAAATATTCATGCTTTTATTTAAGCCAGTTCCTAACTTATGTGGAGGACAACTTTCTGTTCCAGAGGTGGAGGATACAATTAGGGGATCATCGATCTTAAATCTTGTCCTGACTAACAGGGATGAATTGGTTGAGGTGAAGGGTAATTTTGGAGGAAGTGATCATAATACAATAGAATTCCAGATACTGGGACAGGGAAAGCATTGAGGTCAGCAACATCAGGATGCTATATTTAAAAAATGTGGATTTCATTTGATTCAAAAGTTAATAGACATGGTGTTATGGGTGGACAGATTGAAGGATAAAGATGTTCAGGAGGGCTGGGAGCTTCTAAGTGGTACAGTATTGGAAGTCCAACAAGAAACTGTCCTGACATGATGGAAGCCCATGAAGAATGGCAAGAGACCAATGCGGCTGCCCAGGCTGCTTCTAGGATGCCTCAAATGCAAAAGGGAAGCATATAGGCAATGGAAGAATGAGCAGATCATGAAGGACATGCACCGGCAAATATCAAGCACCTTCAGGAACAAAATCAGGAAGGTAAAGATAAAGAATGAGCTGCACCTGGCAAAGGGTCTTAAGGACAACAAGAAGATGTTCTATAAGTATGCTGGCCAGAAAAGGAGCAAGAAAGCTGTGGGTCCTCTGTTAACAAGCCAGGGGAACTCCTAACTGAAGTTGCAAAGAAGGCAGAGCTACTTGGTAGCTATTTTGCTTCAGTCTTCACAAACAAAATTAAACTTCAGCCAGACACCTAATAAGGATTATCTAGGTAAGGAAGAGGCAAACTGAAGGAGGAGATAACAAAAGAGATTGTCAGGGAGCTTTTATTGAGTCTGAATGAATTCAAGTCAGCAGGGCCAGATGTACTTCATCCCAAGGTATTGATGGAAGAGATCTCAGAATCCTTGGCAATGATCTTCATGAAGTTGTGGGAGATAAGCCAGGTACCAGAGGACTTGAGAAGGGCCAGTGTAGTGCCTCTCTTTAAAAAAAAGGCAAAAAGGAGGACCTGGGAAACTTCACTTCAATACCTGGAAAGTTAACTGGAGCATATCCTAAGGACGGCCATTTGCAAGGCTCTGGAGGATGAAAGGCTGATCACAAGGATGGATTTATGAAAAATAAATTGTGTCAAACAAGCTTGATCTCCTTTGACAAAGTAACTACTTGGACAGATGAAGGGAATGCTGTGGATATAGTGGACCTCAGCAAGGCTTTTGAAAAGTCCCACATGACCTTCCTGTAAACAAGCTGGAGAAAGATAGGCTAGATTAAACTACTACAAAGTGGAGAGATAATTGACTCAATAGTTATAAGGAAAGAGCAATTTTTAACAGGTCCATGTCAAAATGGTGGGAGGTTTCAAGTGGAGTCCTACAGGGGGTTAGTCCAGGACATGGTATTGTTCAGGGTTATTATTAACTATTTGAATGCTGACATAGACAGCTTCTGGAGCAAGTCTGCAGATGACACAAAACTGGGAACGATTGCAAACATGAAGGATGCAATCACAATTTAGAAGGATTGTGATAGAATGGAAAGCTGGGCTAGAGCTAACAGGATTGAAGTTTAATGTGGACAAAGGAAAAGTGCTACACCGCAGAAACACAAATATAAGATGGGTGACACCTCGGTGGATGGCAGCACAATGGGAAAAGGAATTAGGAGTCTTGGTAGATCACAGACACAGTGTTATGCAGCCATACAAAAGGTGAATATGGTTTTGGGAAGCATTAGTTGCAAGACAACAAGAAAAGGTTATATAAGTATGTTGGCCAGAAAAGAAGGGCCAAGGAAACTGTGGACATGCCAACCTATTCAGCACTGGTTAGACTTCATCTGGAGTACTGTGTGCAGTTCTGGGCTCCACATTTAAAAAAGGACATGGAAAAGCTAGACGGGTCCAAAAGTGGGCAACAGAGATGATCAAGAACTTGGAAGGCAAATCATATGAGGAGAGGCTGAAGGAGCTAGGCATAATCAGCTTGTAGAAAAGGTGCTTAAGAGGTGACATGCTAGCAATCTTCAAATACTTGATGGCCTGTCATTAAAGAAGAGGGAAAGCATCTTTTTCTCTCTTGCTGAAAAGAGGAGGATGTGGAACAATGGCCTGAAGTTGCAGCAAAGTAAGTTGAGATTGGATATCCAGAATAGACTACTTAGGAAAGTTGTGGATTCTCCATCACTGGAGGTGTTCAGTAAGATGTATGGGTATTCCCCATGCTTCTGGGCTTTGCTGGTTGCCCCCACCTCCATTCTGCTACATGTGTCAGGGTGTTTTTAATCTTCCCTCAGAGGCATTGGGTGTCGGCTGCAGCCAAGGCTTAGGATTTTGACTGGGGTGTACCAATGCTCCTGCTGGGAGCTCTCTCTGCTTAGCAAAAAGACTCAAGCTCGCATCGCAAATTCCAACAAAATGCATCCACCGTTCTAAGAACACTAAAAACAGCAAGAGCAACACTCAACCAAATAAATATTAAACTTGTAAAAAATAAGCTTGCCAAAATAAAACAACTTACCCAGCAAGCATTAAAAAGTCAAATTGTAGCAAATGCAAAATACCAAAACACCCACACCAAAACCCTGATCTTAGCAGTACAGCCCCTCAAATAAATGCACTCTATTCTGAGTCCAATAGTAAAAAAAGCAAAAAACCTTGCAAATAAAACAAGCTCAACTATAGCTTGTGTCACGATGCAAACCTTCATGTTGCACCAGTATAAAAACAGAACCACAAGACAGAAATCTACATTCTTGGCTAATAAAAGTTAAAGTTACTTTATAAAGGTTGAAAAAAGGTGAGAGATAAACAAATTAGAATTCACTTTCACTTTTTACTCTTAAGGATATTTTGGCCCTAGTGGATCAAGGGAGTAAAGTTATCCTTGGCCACATACAAACATTCATTTCAAGTGGTGGAAGTTTTCTAGAGCTAGAAATGATTTTGGTAGAGGGAACTGTATAGACTTTCTGTCTGCAACTGGCCCCTCTTTGGCTTCTTGCACCTTCCCAATACTGTGGTGATCCCGGTCTGAAGAAAGCATGGGCTGTTTCAGTCCTCCCATTCCCAGAGGGACTGGAGCAGTGGACTCAACCTGGTCTCTGGCAAGCCTGACAGCTTCTCCCTGCAGCTCCACTCCTCCTGGTCCCTGGGAGACATAGAGCTGCAGGAAAGTAGGTAGACCTTCATTCTCCCAGGAGCAACTTGTACCTGGTTGTAGTCAGGTTATTTTTCTCCTGGAACAGATATTTTTGGTCCAGAAGAAAATACTGGAACATCTTAAATTCATGGTTTCCACTGGGAGAGCAGCAATTCTCCTGGTAGAAACAAAATGTCTGTATATAGACCTTAACCCAGACAATGACATACTAGGGTCTATCCTGGTAAGAGGGCTTTTAATGGAGGTACAAAACATACCCTCTTTAGGAAGGACTGCTAGTCAGTGTGGAAAAGATCATAACTGCTTCCGCACCCAGGGTCTTTTGGGAAATGTCCAGGTGTACCAGCAGGGTGTGATACTCTTGCACCCTATGCTCAAAGAATGCAAGATGAGTGTGGGTTTCTAGATGTCATCTGTGCAGGTGAAGCAGAAAAAAGGCTTCTACCCCCTTTCCAAAACAGCAAAAATGGAAGTAGGATCTGGCTCTTAATGTTAGAGAAATGTCTATTTTTTAATGAGTGAATTATAATATTTGTGCATTCTTACCTTAATAACTCTCAGAATTCCCTGATTTGTTGCTCGATCTGTAACTATTTCAAAGCAGTTGTCTTCATTGCCAGATAAAAAGTAAAATTCTGCCAACCAATTGTCTGAAAATTCTTCATCGGCATCTAAAGCTTGTATCCGTAACAGTTCTGAACTAAGTGAATTTTCTGAAATTTGTGCTGAATACTAGAACAACAGATACACACTGTATTAACAAGCAGTCAAGGCATCTTATTATGAAGAAAATATGATTACAGTGAAGTGACAGTGCATTTATTTTTGAAGGACATTTTTGTCATAATCAACACTAATTCAAAAATACCGCATGCTGCATATGGGACATTGACACACATTCATACATCCTATTATGTGCTTGTGAAATCATCTGAGGAAAAGTGGATAGATATTTTCTTTGAATAAGGATTATGTAAAACAGGGCTGTCTAACTTAGAATCATAGAATCAATGAGTGGGAAGGGACCTAGACAGATCATCGAGTCCAAACCCCTGCCATGGGCAGGAAGGAGCACTGGGGGTGGGAGGGGTCATAAGACCCCAGCCAGGTGCCTATCCAGTCTCCTTTTGAAGATTTCCAGGGAAGGTGAGAGCACCACCTCTCTGGCCAGCCTATTCCAGGCTCTGGCCACCCTTACCGTGAAGTAGTTCTTCCTAATATCTAACCTAAAGTATCCTCCCTCAGCTTGTGGTCATTGTTCCTGGTGACTCCAAGGGGGGCCCTGGTGAACACACTTTCCCCAAGTCCCTGCTGGTGGCCCCTGATAAGGTTGTAGGCAGCCACAAGTCTCCTCTTGCAGAGACTGAAGAGATTCAGGTCCCTCAGCCTCTCTTCATAGGGCTGGCCACGGAGGCCCTCAACCATACGAGTGGCCCCACTTCTAAGTGGCTAGTGTGAAAAATGAGTAGGGATTTCATGGAATACAAAAAGGACCTATGAATTTGTCATCAGAATTGTGTACATGGGCCAAGGATCAGATGTTGGAACAGTTCCCCATGTTGGTGACCACTTGCTGACAAAAATTAAAGCATTTCCCAGTGAGACAGTTCATGGAAATAAATGCTTACCAACATCAATACGGGATCTACCGCCTGTGTGATGTTTGTTACATACATACATACACATACACACACACACACACACACACACACACACACACACACACACTAGTGATGTTTCTTGTGATAGGAATAACTTACTGAGCTTTGTGCAATAGTTGGGAAATTGTCATTTACATCAAGAACTTTCACAATACAACTAGCAGAGGATGAAATTCCATCTGCAGCTCCATCCCGGTCAGAGGCTCTCACAACAAGACTGTAACTTGACTGTTGCTAAATTAGAAAGAACAACACACATATTTTAAGGTATTTACAATACAAATCCCATATCAAATAGAAACTGATTGCTGTATCAAATTGTTACAAATTCAGATATTAATTATAACAGAAAATGCATGCTATATCTATTTTAAAATAAGGCTTTAAACTTTTTTCTCACCTTTATAACAAACACATTAATCTCCAACTTTTATCCACACACATACACATAAGTTACATTCTTTATGAATTAACACCTCAAAGTTTTACCTCTCGATCAAGCATGCTTGCTAGGTGAACTTCTCCAGTGTATTTGTTCAGAACAAACATTGACCCGGAAGAATCCATACTTTCTATCTTGTAGGCAATTTTTGAATTCAAGTTATTTGGTTCATCTGCATCTGTTGCAGTTATTTTCAGCACCAGAGTGTCTAGAAATTAAAACATCAGAATTGTATGTTACTGATGTGCAGTATGCAGCAAGACAGTACGTGTTAAAAACTCAAGTATAAAATTAAAGAATTATGTTATCAGTGAGGACCTATATTTAGTTTAATTTACAAATAGAAGAATACAATGTGCTCGCTTGTTTTCCCTAAAATAATCAAATCTTTTATGCTCCACAGTTGTGGTATTCTAAGTAGGGCTTTTGCAAACCTGGCAACATCTATGAATTTTTAAAAAGAGAAAAACATGTTTATAAATGATGCGTGACTTTTCCACATTATTGAACTTATCTAAACAAGAGTTGGCATCTTTATAAACCTAGTATTTTGAAATGCTAGCATGGGATCTCACAATAAACTGTGTACTGTTCTATTTGTAATAGATAACATATGTGTTATATATAATACAGTTTGAGATATACCACACAAATATATTTATATCACTACATGTTAAAATTTGTATTTTGATCTCAAATATATATTCAGAACTGCTTAAATATCTATGCAAGTTCAGATTAACATAGTATCAGCAAATATCCATAATTTATCATGAACTCTTGAAAAATAGTCTTTAACTTTGCAGATGTTTAGATACAGTTTCATCCTGGAATTGTGTGTATCTGTTTTATTTTCCAGTATTATCTACAGTAATACTTGTTTCCATACCTGAGTCTGTCAATTAAGTTATATTTATTTATAAGGCTTCAAATTGAGTGGCAAATTTCCTTTGGATTTCCAGTGATTTAAAGGTATAGTTTATGATCAGGACAGATGGGGGAAAGTATATTCACCCTCCCAATCATCTATATAGACCTTCAAAAAGGAAGAGGAAATAAACCAATTTTGTATTCTCCCCCACTCCCAATTTTAAAAGAAATGCCAAGAGAACATTATAAAGAAATATAAAGATGAGATAATTATCTTAACTATGGTAGTGGCAATGGTGATTGCGAATTGTAATAAAACAATATTTTCTCATACACAGTAAACTCTCTGGTAACTGGCACCTTACAAGCCAGTATGCTCTGTTAACCAGTATGCTGCCTTGTAAGAAAAAGTGCCCTCGAGCCCCCACAGCCCGAGGCAAAGCAGCCAGCACTGCCGAGTCCCCATGGCCCAAGGGCATAACAGGCTGCGCAGGACTGTGCACAGCCTGCCTCCCTGTCCCGCAGGGCCCGCGGGAGGGGTGGCAATGCCACGGGAGGGGCAGAGGGATGCCCCAGATGCAGCTGGAGAAGCAGCAGCTGGGGCCACTCAATTAACCAGCATATTTTGTCATCCAGTATCCCCCATTCCCGGACCTTTTACTGTACCACTCTCACTTTTTTTCTAAAAATCAGCTTCTGAAAATTGCGGGGTGTGTGTTAAGTTAACTATGGTTGGTAGGGGTTGCCTCTGGTTATTCTGTGTCTTTGGAGTAAGGCTGGGGCCAGCTTTGTACACCCTGCCTTGCTGGGGCACTGGCTTCCCAGGAGCTACTATTCCAGTACCCCCTTTAAATCAATAGCTGGGTCTGGTGCCCCTCCTCTCACCTTACCCCACTTCAGTTATACTACTACTGGTTGTAGACAATAGGAGCCCTGCATGGTCACTGCACCGCCCCTCTGCATCAGGGTTACTTTCTCTGTTGCCTGCTGCAGAAGATACTACTGATTTAGGAACCTTTGCACCAATACCAGGTTGAGGGTGTCCCAGGGCTTGGCTCTGCTGCATTTGCAGCACAAGGGAGTAAACTTTTGGCTGCTTTGTTAATTGCCTAGGTGCTGGCTGGCTGTGGACAATGTTTCCCTCAGTTGAAGTGTCTACAGGAGGGTCTGCCTCCAAAGCTGCTTATGGGTGTCCCATTAACAAAGTAATATGTTAGGTGAAAGTTAGGGGAAAGTAACTCTGCACATGCTGAAGGAACACCCTCAGACTGCTGCTAGGGCAGATCCTGCAGCTGAGGGATCAATAATCTACAGCCAGCCAGCAGCTAGGGGGTTCACAGGTGCAGGGAGTAGGGCGGGGTGGGGGGGGGTGTTGCTCCCTCCTAGCAAAACTACCTGTATTTAGGCTGCTGGTCTTTAGAAAGCAGAGTGTATGTCTTATCTAGGGGCATGTGGTAGGCGAGGGATTATGGTATACATACAAAGTAGTTACTTACTGTCCATAGAGCATTCTTCAATAGATCCTGTAAATACACTTTGTGTAAAAATTGGAGGATTGTCATTTATATCCAGAATTCTGACTTGAAGTTCAAGAGGCGGTTCTAAATCTATGCCAGTCAATGCATGTTTAGCAAAACAGTGAATCTGCATAAAGATATTTTAAAATATAATTGACAAATAAAAAGACAAATAGAAATTAATCATTAAATAACTGCTCCCCCTCTCTGTATCCATTACCATGCAGAAGACATGAATGTAAAACACATCATACTAAACTGGTTGTACAACACTTACAAGAAATCCTGGAGTCACCTCCCGATCAACTATTCTCGTTATATTAATTTCTCCAGTTCTTGGATTAATAACGAAGTTTTCTCGAATTCCGTCTCCACTGATGCTATATATAATTGGATTGTTTTCTTCACAATCTGAACGGATCTACAAGATATAATAAACAAATAACATGACAATAAAGAAATGAAAAACGTGTCTCTCAGCTCACTGAGATCACCAGTAGATTTTTTTTTCTCCCTTATAGAAAGTAGAATAATTCTAAGAATTCTGCTTTCTTCAAAGGTTCTGCAGACAGCATTATAACAACTTCATTCTCATTTAGAGGTCTTTGCAGTACAGAACTTTCAAGTCGGTGTCTTCAGTCAGCCACCGACTAAGACTGTCATTCATTCACTAAAAAGGTAAAACACATATTCTTCTATAGGCTAAGCCCATTGCCTCTATATGCACTAAGCTACAGACAATATCAGCTAATATGTTCTAATATAATAAAAGCCTTAGTCTGTCAGTCTGTCTGTCCATAACACTTTATTTGCACTCTGATTGGTTGTCTTGGCAGCCAAGCACAATGCTGACGGAAACAACCAACCAGAGTGCTCTACACAGACAGACACAGACGGCGGAGCACCGGGACTGAGGGGCTGGAGCTGGGGGGGTGAGGCCAGCGGTGCTCCTTGGAGGCAGAGGGGGACAGTGGGGATGCACTGGGACATGGAGCGCTGCCGTGACTGCAGGGACAGAGACGATGGAGTGGGGGGGAGTGTGCTGGCTTCGCTGCCACCCTCCTCCCACCAGCCTTGCTCCTTGGAGGTGGCGGTGGCATGGGGTGCTGGAAGAGGCACTGCCTTCACCTCCCCCACTCTGGCATGTGAAGCCAGACTTGGGGGAGTGGGGAGGCTGCACTGGTCTGGAGGCAGAGCAGTGGCACTGCAGGGCAATGGGTGGCAGTGCTCTGTCCCCGCCCACCCCACCCCATGAGTCATGATGGACAATGGAGACATGATAGACTGGGATGGTGAAGCACCACCATGCAGTGCACCAGAAGCTGAATATGAGCCAAGAGTGTGCTCCTGCTGCAACAAAAGCCAACAGTGAATAGAAATGTCACTTGCAAATCAAGGGAAGTGATACTTCCCATCTATCCAGCACTAGGGAGGCCTCAGCTGGAACACCATGTCCAGTTTTGGTCCCTGAATTTCAAGAAAGATGTGAACAAATTGGAGAGTCCAGCAGAGAGCAGTGAGAATGATTAGAGAGCTAGGAAACATGACTGACAATCAGAGGTTGGAAGAACTGAGTTTATTTAGACTGGAGAAGAGAAGCATGAAGAGGGATTTGATAACAGTCTTTAAATATTAAGAGTGTGCTTATAAACTGAATGGAGATAAACTATTTTCAGCAGCTGCATGGGACAGGACAATGTTTCTGCAGCAAGGGAAATTCAGGCTGGATATTGGGAAGATCTTTTTCACCCTGCAGGTGGTTAAGCATAGAACAGATCCCCTAGACAGGTTGTGGAATCTCTATTCTTGGAAGTGTTTAGGAACAGGTTAGGCAAACACTTGTCAAGGATTTTTTAGATAGAGAGGATCCTATCTCAAGCAGGTGGTTGAACTAGATATACCCTGAAGTGCCTTCCACACCTTCTTTTCTATAATTCTATGATAGCACAAAGGTGGGGGAAGGCTGGGAAGCTCTTCCTCTCTATGTATGAGTTTAGCATTATGCCAGCATTTGTACACAGGGATTTCTCAAAGTGAGTAGGAAGAGTGAGCCACAAAGAAATATGCTTGACACCACACAAGCAGGACACATGCCACATCTTTTTAAAATATATAATTGCTTCAAGGAGACCTCTTTATGATACACAGGATACCTAGGGGCTTTATGGAGTATCACAATCCAGGTTACAATTGGGTATGGCTCTCAGTAGAGCTAGAAGTACTGTAGGGCCTTCCCTCTTCATTTTTCCTTTTTATGCAATGTTTGTAGATGTCTACCAAATTCAGCCTTCATCAGGCTTTTTTTTTAAAGTACCATCTAAACAACAAACAACATTTTCACTTTGCCTACCACGTACCTTGGCAATTGGATTCCTTTTTGAATTATCTTCTCCTTCTCTACAAGCTGCAGCAAATTTGATCCATTCACGTTTTTGTCTTCTGAAGGTCTTCCATCTTTGCACACCATTTTCATTTATTTCTTTCACCTTAAGTAGAATGAGTTTCAGTGTTACTATGACTAGCACTCCAGTGTCACTATGACTCTACTGATACAGACAGACAGGATTTTTAAGTGAAAAGTAGGGAAGACAACAGATTCTTGGTCTTTATTACAGTCTCTAAAGCTATAGTCTTGCAGGCATTCCTTACTCTTCTAACAAGTCCACTGACTTCAGGGGGACTCCTCAGGTGGGAAGGGATCAGATCTCCGCCCTCAGCAGGTTAACATTTAAATATTTTTCTGTCTTTTCTCTATTTCAGGTGAGTGAGCTTTCTGACAGGAGAACCACCAGTTATCCCCAAGTGAAACTCTTATCCCTTTCCTCTGCCTGATCTGCTGCTCTGTTTTCTGCTCCCTGCCCTAACTGCTACTGTGCTGTGTGTCCTTTCCTTGATCTGCTTGGTGCCACAGACAGAGTATGCCCCTGCCACTTGTGCCACAGACTAGCCACCCCTTTTTAGGTCATAAATCCTCTCAGTTCATTTCATTTTTAACGTAATTATATTTTCAGTTTTCAGAAAATCTGCACTTTAAGAAGTATGTTTATAAATATATTACCTGTACATGAAACCCTGTGCTGATGTCCAGGAATACCTGCAAATAACAGTGATACAGTTAGCACAATACCAAGTTTTGGTATCTTCCTCTGACATGTCTCATAAAAATGGACAAAGTCATATTTTCCCAAGCAGGAAGGAACTGTCACCTGCTGAAACTTGAGATCCTGCTTCTGTCTTTGTTTCAAGGTAATTCAAGGTAATCATTACAGATCCTTATAGGAGGTGAGAGGCTTCATACCAGCTATGAACTGACTGCCCAGAGAAATTTTCCATCTATTGACTCCTCTGTGAAATCCTATGAAATATGAACTTTCATTTCTACCCAGGAGAACTTTTACAATCTTTTCTCCAATGCGTGATGAAGGGTGTTGTGCCCAAAAACTTATAATTAAAGATATTTTTTTGCAAAAATTGGCTTAATAAAAGATATCATCTCTACTACAAGTCCTGATTGCCAAAGTCATATTTTGCACTCAGTCTCTTGTGCCAGCATGTTCCTAGGACTCTCTCCCTCACAATCACTGTCCTAACCCGCCCAGAACAATTTGTAATGAGGGTGCGGTGTTTCTGTAAAGACTTGCATCTTTCCTGACCCATTCCCCATCCACTTCCATCATCACAGCTATCTATACTTGTAACGAAGTGGCCCTTCCATGCAGTTTCATATGGAACAAGATCTTCAGTACCCTGACATTTTGTCTCAATGCTATAAACAATGCACTAGGTTTATTTCCAGTGGAAGATAATGGATAAAGGAAAAGAAAGAAAGCCAAAGAAATTACATCAGAACATCAGAGGGGTTATCAGAACCATTCATTAGAGAAGATTAAGAAAAAATAAACGACAAGTTTATTCCTTCCTCTGAGAGGGGCTTCTATGCAAATACTCTTCCTGAAAAAGTAAATTAAAGGTCAAGACGATTTTCTCTATTTTCTGTTGTCCATATTAGTACATGTTGCCTTTTCCTGTATGGGATTAAGCCAGTTTGTAGTGCAATAGGTTTGGGGAAGACACTGAGGAAGATGGTTCAATTCACAAGTTCCTCTTTTCCTTGTCTCTCTCAAAGATACACTGATAAAATGGGTAGCAAAGTTCAAGTTCTTCACTGACTTGCAACCTCTAAAACCTGAGGCGTATATGGCTGTTTAGTAGCTAGATCACGATGGGTTTGCCCAATATGCTAAACTTTCTTCCTTCTAATCCTATAATCCAGTTTTAAATCTGTAACACCTGCAAAACATATAGAAGTCTAATCTGTTTTCCACACTTAAAAGCAGTCCTCCAGCAATTTAAGCCATTCACACATATGACAGAATTGAGTTGTTTGATGACCTGAACTCTTTAAAACATGATACTAAAAATATGACTACTCCATTTATTTTAAAGATGAGGAAATGATGACAACCTAATATTTTAAAATAACACTATATTATATTGTGTCCCATATGCCCTGAAATAAAACACAAAACTTAATTTTGGGAAGGCAGAATGAAGAAAAAAATATTTTCCAGTTATGGTCGCATCTAACAGGGACAGTCTAATCATCCCACTTTCCTTCTCAGACCAAACTATAGTTTTAACCCTTTTGCAACTGAATTGTCAGTAGCTCTTGGTTGCTCAGCAGTAAGCCGAAACTGTAGCTGCTGCCCATCCTGATCCACAGGCAGATCCAGGATTTTGGAAAGATCTAAAAAAAGTCTGCAGGGCTCTGAAATAGGAGGAGAGAGATCAGGAGTAGCTAACATGCAGCACAATTGCCAAACAAAGGATAGCTTGATAAGTAGAATGTCAAGACCATTAAAAAGAAGAGAGGGTTATTAACACCTGTGGGGTGAAGAGTCATTCATTACCAGAAATCAGGCATATTACAATGACTCATGAAGTCAATTGATTCCCTCAGAGCTGCCTGAATAGAAATGCTAATGCTGCTGCCAGTGAAGCAGGAATCTAAGGGGAGTGTAACTACACTGTTGCACTCCCCCTGGATCTGCTCTTCTGGATTGTGCCTCTCCTTTGGTGCAGCTGCTGGAGGGAAGAAAAGGAAAATTAGCAGCAGCCATCTCATAGTGTCTCCACGTTTCCATTATGGGCAATAAAATCAGCTTCCCCGTTTAAAGACAAGCACTCCAACTTTGGAAGGCTAATTTCTGGAGGAAAAGGTTTATGTGGTGGTATGGAAGTACATCCAGTACATTGCATTTTAGTTTGTTAAAGTATGGAAGTGCGTACTGTTTGTATGAACAAAGGGCTGTGACTAATGGAGACCTGTGACTAATGGAGACCTCTTAAGAGCATTGTTGAACAAGTCATGGTTGGCTCCTTCTTGCATCAAAGTTATAAGTAAGTAGTGCTGAGCCACTCAGAAAGCTGCTAAGCATACAGGGGCTGGTCCGTCTGCAAGTCAATATTATCCTCAACAGCTTAGTAAAAGGAAAGGCTACTTTTCAGGGAGTTTGTTGCAACTTTTGCATAATAGTGTAGTAGTGAGATCACTCATTCAGGAAATGGAAAATTGGGTCCTTTTTACTCCCCAGTTTGAGTGGATTCAAGGTGGTCCATAATTCATACAAGTCAAAAAATCACGTTCTTGTGGTGTCTCTACTTTGAACTGTAAAGTTCCCTAGCTGTCTACATACAGACTCTACCATGTGCACAGAAGTGATCCAGTCTGACCACTGCTTCCCAGAAGATGATTCTGGCTGCAAGACTACAAGATAATCTGGGTGGAGGCATCTTCCATCCCTCTTGTTGAAGAAAGGCTGCTGAATGCAAGCATGGAAAAGTCTTGGGGTCAGAAGAGCAGCAGAAAGAGGATGTTTGAATATAGACCAGAGAAGAGGGCATTCCCTAGGAGAGGCAAAACCTAGGTTCTGGTCCTGCTGCTAAATTTATTTCTGCTCTCAGCTGATCACAGTCTAATGCAAAATAAAATAAATAGTTTTGCCAAGCAGGGACCAGCAACCAGTTCTTCTGTTTTCTTGATGACTGTTCTGAAAAGCAAATGTGAAAAGTTGGCAGTGTTACCATCACTGTCATTTCTGAGCTGAACTCAGTGCTGTTGCCATGAGTTAGGTATACTCAGAACATGCCCAATGGATTGGCTCCCTTGAAGGAGTGGGGTGTCTCCCAATCACCAATCAGGACAACAGCAGTAGTTAGGAGCTATGGTGATCAAGCTGCATCACTTCTGATAATCTGTAGAACCCCAAATGCAGGTACCTCACAAACCCTTATTGTTTACAGCACAAGAACAACTGGAACTTAAACTGCTGAGTTTAACTACTGGCTACTGAGTTTTGTGGACTGTGGGACAGTATCTAGCTGGGTTGCTTTGGGAAACTTATGAAATTCTACTTAAGTTCCATTGAGGCATCTACAGAATTACCTTAAGTGTCTCATGGACAATTCAGTGAAGTAAATGGCAGGAGCCCCATGGAATTTTATGGGACCTTTTCCATTTACTTCACTGAATTTTGCAGTGAAGTTCAGTGGGATTTGGGGTCTTATACCCAATGTATAAGAAAAAACTAAGGTAAGCATCAGACCTAACATGTAATTGCCTCAGAACAAGAATAAAAACACAGGAATAGCATTTAGATAACATTTAAACTAAAACTTAATTAAATTCAATATTAATAAGCAATAATAATAAATGTACAATTCACATGGGCAAAGGATTACCTGACTGTCACTTAGGGACTTAGGCTCTAATCCTATACAAGAAAGGACTAAGAACATGAGGGAGTTTTGCAGGATTTTGGTGTCTCCTGAGTAGGGCCTTATTTTCATTCAGCAATGAAAATAAATATAAATATAAGAACAGCTTAAGGAGAGTTGTGGAGCTTCTCTTTTCCCCACCATTCTTGTCTACCATTTGAGGTTTTTGTTCTCTGATTCTCAGTGGCCAAGTTCATTTCTCATTGTTCTGATTACAGAGTAAGTCATTACAGTTTAATTTGCTCTGCATTATTTTAGAAACTGGATTTTATGCCAGCAGTTGTCCTAGATGACTTATGTGGCACTACAATGGTGATAAAGATGTTCGTGAATAGCATTTTTTCTCTGCCTACTAAAATAGTAACACTGGACTATGTACAGTCCAAAAGAAACGAATGTAGCCACCTGTATGGGAAATGTGTACCGAAGTGAGTAAGGATTAAGGATGGACCTAAAGCAGACAAGGTTCTTTGGATAAATCTGATATCTTTTATTAGACTGACTGAAATAGTTGGAAAAAATGCATTTGTGAATGAAGGGAACAACTGATTATCGATTGGGTTTTATCTGTATGTGGGCTCAGATGTATCTTGAAATCAAGTGGCCTACTCACAGAGTAAGGCATTATTCACTGTGAATAAGAATGGCAGAATCTGGGCCTAAATAGGCAAGACAAGTATTCCTCATGAAAATATGAATTACAACTGTGAACTGGTTCTACAGAAAGGGATAAATCTGTGCAGGCCGTTCTGTACAGTCAGCCTTTAATTAAAAATATGCTTAAAGGGTATAGTCTAAACACTGAGCTACAGAACTGAATTCAAGTTCAGCCATGGTTGTTAGCCACCACACAAGAGAAGGAGAAGACAATCTAACCAATCAGGCATATATTTTGCCAGAGAGGCATAAGCCTGTTTTGATGGCAATGCTGTTTTCCCAAGTGTGAGAATAAGCCTTTCCATTTACAATTCCTCTTGGAGATTTTACAAGGCCAGGAGGAACGAACAGTTTTATCACCACTAGTTAACCATGCGATCAAAGTTTCTGGAAACTGCACTCTCTGGAAGAGTTTCTACGTGATTTGCTTTGAGCAAGTTATGTAGAAACCTAGCTCAGGGTGCTACCAGCCACGCTACCTCCTCTCCCTCAGGGTGAAATTCCCTCTGGAATACAAGCCACTGTGTCAGCCCAGAAAGGTATACTACACACCTCTTTGACTAAATATGCCTTAGTGAATGCTGTATATTTTCTGTATCATATGGTATGTAAGTAGGTGCCATATTGTAACTCATTCGTTACACTACTTTAATTCAAAATGAGTTATTACAAGTGTTTAAGGATACAATCTTACTACAGTGGTAGTAAAAAGTCCTTAAGTACTATCCTTTAAGGATATAACATTAATTAAATCTTTATTTTTATTAGCCCAGCCTAGTGGCCATACAACATAAAGCTGTGAGAAATATCAGTTTTCATGCTTAAGATTTTTCCTTTGTTCTTGGAGCCCACTGGTTGGGAATGTTATGAATATAATTTTCCAGATTCTTGGGACAAAGAAGAGGATTTCCTACCACTATAATCTGTAGTAGCAATAACTGAAAATTTAGTTCCATTGTGTTCACTTCTGCTCTCTAGTGTTTTTCAGGAAACCCCCTCATTCTCATTGTGCCTAATGAGAGATGTCTTACCTAAAAGGCTTTCACATTTTTTGAGTGAAGAGTTCTCGTGTTGTTCATGATATTATATGTACATTTTGAATTAATGAATATTAAGTTTATATCCGGTTTATTTTATACTAACTACATAAGTACTATCTATACAGCCATTGATATAATCAGTCACATTTCCAGTACAAGGAACCATTGAAAGGTCAGAATGTATTGGATATGTCATTGGGATTTTGGAGTAAGGAGCCATAGACTAACAGAGAAAACCTGCTAGCTTTTCAGAAAGGCTCAAGACTTGAATCTCAATTTTTCTGATCAAAAGGTTTGTCCTGTCATAGATGGTTACCTAGCATGAAGCTCTCCATTTGAAGCAAAGTCCACAGAAAAGCTAGTATACAGTGGGGGAAGAGGATTCTGCTAAACTAAAATGGGGGAGGTGAGGACAAAATCCAACCTTTATTAATAATCTAAAACAGTGGTTTTCAACCTGCTGTCCACAAAAGATGACTATGTTCAGTTGTTCTATCAGAAGTACATGAATACCCACACTTACAATTTAAAGGGGTCCGCTCCTCCACTGGAAATTTTTTAGGGGCTACAAATGAAAAAAGGTTGAAAACCACTGATCGAGAACATGTTTATAGTTAGTTTGTCTTGAATGGTTGTAGTACACTTGTAACTACAACTGACTGACTCCTGCATTGGTTACAGAAAATTTTAAATAACGCTTAATATCACTGGAGATATTCCAGTTTTATTCTGATGTAACTGGGAACAGAATTTGGCCCACAGCATTTATAAAGCACTTTGAATCTTCAAAGCAATTTACAAACATGAGTTAACTAATGATCAGCTGGCTGCCAACCCTAATGTGCAATTAGAGAATCCTCCTTTTTCCACCTACACCCAACCAAATGACTGAACTTGCCCATAACTCCTTATTTGCTCAGTTTCCCAGCATTATTCATACAGGGCCCGATTCTACTTTCTTTGAAGTCAACAGACCTGGTTGGGAGGTGTTTTGGACACTCAGGCATATTACATTAGTCATTATCGTGCCTCTGTACTTATTGTTGTGTCAGCACTTTGGAACATGAAGTGCACTCCTTACTCTGCCAAAGCTCTCCCCGAGTCAAGTCCTAGATGAGCAACATGTTCCTCAATTGGATTGTGTGTCTCAACAAAAAACATTAAAAAGCCCTGTATGCTAACTAATGAGAAATACAGTTGTACTTGAGCCTGAAATTTCCAACTAAGTATAACCAGCCAATAGCTCATTTGGTTACTTTTAAAACAAAACAGAAACATTAGTTCTGTCTGCTTCCTACTTTCCTTTAATTAACAAGTAGTGCAGTTTTATTTGAAGAGGAAATTTGCAAAATGGTTTTCTGTTTTTGTTGTTTTTAACTTTAGAATGACAAGTTCTTTCTGTGACAGCTACACTTGAAACTAACGCAGATCCTTAGATTGTCGAGATTTTCCCAGAAACAAATACAGTCTTGCTCTCATTGGAATTTATGGAAGGGATTCTGCCTACTTCAATGAACAGAATAAGGCTTAATTTTTCAATGCTTTTCAAATATTTTTATATTCATGGAATTAAACATTTTCATGAAAGTTTCTTGTTAGGATTTTTTTATCCTCTACCAGATAAATAACATGGGATACATCACATAGAAATTCAGTGCTTCTATTTATTAACTGACTTTTATGAATAATGAATTCAGAGGCAGTAAGACAATGTTTTCAAATTAGGCATCTAAATCCATACTAAGGCTCCTAACTAAAAGTGGCCTGCATTACGGTGCTGCTTAAACCCACAAGTTCCATTCCAGTCAGTGGAGCAGAATGTTTCATATCCACATCCAAGGGAAAGATCTGGCTCCTAAAAGTTACAGTAAGTTTCCAACCAAATTATAAGCATTTTGACCTCTATCTTAGCATTAGTGGGAAAAAGTGCAGCTGCGTAAAGAAAAAGCATGTGGGTAAAAATAACCAGCCAAGTGACAAACTGATTTAAGATTGTCATGAACTAACTATCATATGACAGCTGGCATGAGAAGAGTCATATAAAGGATCAAACAAGTTGCTGCCATGGAACAAGCTGGTGCATGTAGCACAGACCAGTTCTACCACCTAGACTCATGTGAATCATCCTTACTCACGAGACTAAGGCATGGAAGTAAAAGCTGTAGAATCAAGTCCTCAGATGACAAAATGTGCCTGATAAATGGATAGCTTCAGATCACAGTCTGCCCCTAGCGAATTAATATTTTCATTTCAGAATGCTAACTAAAGTGTGTGTATGTCTATAACAAGTTTATCTGCACAGATTTGTTAACCAAACGTCAAAAACCCAGATACTTAGGTAGCTTCCATCACAAGAATAATACAAAACAAGTTCAAGATTGAGCCTTATGTGCATGGTTTCTTTTTGAATTACAGATCTTTATAGTTATGATTTAGTTAATCTCTCATCTATGTACAACAGGGCCTCAGTTCCACTAAGCACCTGACTGGGTTAAAAAGCAATTGATGAAGAGTCTACTATGAACTCGAGATCAGTTCTACACAAAGACAGGCATATTATAATAGGTAAATTGATTATATAGCAATAGTCTAGACATCTGATACCTACAAAAACGTGATTAGAGTTTACATAGGCAGGTACCCACTTTTCCTGATTTAACTTAAAGCCTTTATCAGCCACAAAACAATAAGGGTATTATAATGTAATTTTTAAAATGAAGTCTGAGCATTTTGAAAGAAGAGGCTGTCATTATGCAATAAAGCACAAACTTAAACAGAGTTATTTATACAATGGCCGATATATAGTTTATTTGTACTGAACGTCCAAACAAAAGGCATAGGTATTACCATAAAATTTAATAAATATATCTGCGATCAATATAACTAATGCCAAATTAAAGTCTCAGAGTGTTATAATGCACATAATAATCTACCCTGAAAGAGACTTATTAAACAAACCAAAACTTACTATAAATCGTAACTTTGTTTTTGCAAACTCTGAGCATTATTCACTGGGCAGCTGCCTATGCTGGTTTGTTCTACCTTACTGAATGCAATATTGTGATATAAGACTGGCTTTTTATCCTGTCAAAATAACACACAATATTCTGATTTCAATGACAATAATTATCTGAGTACTTTAAAAGTTAATATTAACACAAACCTTAAAGTTTTTACACCTAGTTGTTGGTGGCGTGAAATAAATTTTACAAAACAAACTGCTGTCCTGTGATTCTACTTTTGTGATCATTAGGGCTTCTAAGAGAGCAAGATAAATTATTAAAAAATACATCCAAATAATATAGTGGAATATGATACAGTAAGTGGAAGCCACAAAATCTCTGATTTTCTCAAGTGTCTCTGATTTGGGTTATTTTCAGCATTATAAGGAGCCTATGTTGCACAAGCATTATCCTTTACCACAAGCACAGCTTTCTTTGTTCCATAATGAAAGCAAACAGTACAAGAGAATTATACTTTCATTTTAAAGATGTATTTATCTACTACTTTCACACAGTAATGTAAATGTGCTACTATACCAAGTCATGAATGTCCCTTGCAGTTGAAAATAATAGGCCAAATCCTGCTATCAACCAAAGCCTCCACTGAATTTATTGAGGTTTTACCATATTAAGGACTACAGGATTCTATCTAGTGTAATATAGCCCTTGTAATTATTTTTAAGTCTGTTGATTTTGTCTTAAATAAACTGTAAAAATGAAGACATACAGCCACAGTACTATTATTAATGATAATAATAACAAAATAATGCATTTTATTTTGTATAAGCACTTCTTTGAGGGAAAATAAGTGTTGCATTAATAATTAATACTATATTGCTATAGTCATAGTCAGAAGTGATCATTTTGAGAACATTAACATTAAAATAGAAATTTAAAATGAGAAAGGTGAATTTCTAATAATTTTTAGAATTACTTGATTGATACAAGTTTCTTTGTAGTCTAAAATGGAGAGAGTATGACCCCTATCTTAGCCTTAGGAAAAAAAAATGTGCAGATGTAAAAAGAAATAACATGAATAAAAGCAGCCAGGCAAATAACAGAAGGGCTTTGACTGAGATTAACAGAGAATTTACAGATATTGTTTTAAAATTGTACTTACCATGAATAAGAACACAACAGCAGCTGTTCTGTGAAGGGGCCAATCCATTGCATCTGATTTCTCTTAGATACAAGTCCAACTGAACTATAGTCACACTTCTGTTCCCTTTCCCCTCCCCCGGTGTGTATGTAAAAAGACACTCAGTAGATGTCCTTACACCCAATCTTTCAAAGTGTATCTGCCTCCCTCTGAAGGAAGCACTGAAGATGCTGTATAACAGAGTCTGTCTCCCCACCCAAAAATCCTGGGCTGGTCTCACCAGAAACGCTTGACAACATCATTATTGCTCCCAGGTAAAAGCTTAGACACACCTCAATTCTTATTGCAATGAAACCTGTGTTGGAATACCAAAGAGAACATTTTAAAAACAGAAGACAAGCTTTAGTGGGAAGACACTAAATGGATTATAACTTACAACATGAGAAATAATTCAAATACCTTATCATCACTTTGAATCCAAATAGCGGGCTTGTTTGCACTGCCACTACATTAGAAACATGTAGCAAAATATATATGTGCTCTTCAGAAGAGGATGAACTTTAAGAAATGTCTAGTTCATCTGAAATTACCTATCCATGTCTTTCACAAGGATAAAACTATTATCTTTCTTTTGGGCTAAAGGTCAGGCCTATCTCCACTATACATGGAATGATCCAGAATAAAGTAAGCTGCATTACTAAGACCCTATAATATTGTGAAAATACATTACTGACACAAATCCTATCCCAGCAGGAGAGGTAGGTGGCAGTAACTGAAGCCTTGCTGCAAAAGCAATGATCATACTCCATGGACTCACCCTCAAGCTGAATGACTGACTGATCTGGGGTAAGTAGAATGCAGAAAGGGAGTGCTACAGGCCAGGGGAATGTAAGATTCCTGCGCATTTCCACCTCAGAGAAGACAAATCCCACTGTAGCCATAGAAAGAAGCAAAGCAGATGGCAGTTTTTTTACATCACGCATTACATCTGTCTGCTGCTGAACTCCCATTTCCTGCTGGAGCCCAGGCATGATATGTGCCATACATGTCAAGAGGAGGCTAACTACTCAAGCAGGAAAGCATTGGCAGCAACAACAGCCTCTCTTTTCAATAGCCAACATATGTAATAAATAGGCACCAGATCCAAAAAAAGGACTTAGGTGCCTAAGCTGCACTTCAAGCAGAATTCAGGTGCCATAGTACATGTGGAGGATTTGCAAAAACCCTACCTAACCAGTTAGGTGCTTGAAAAGTATTAGGCAACAAAGTTTTCTGGTGTAAACTGACCTATGCACCTAGGCTAGGGGTAGAAAATACACATAAACCTGTATAAGTGATTGGAAACTGGTTCAAATCTGTAACAACAGAAGTTCAGTGCACACAAACCACTTTCAAAATGGCTGAAACCAGTTAAGGATAAGTCTAGAGGGATGTAGTATCACATTTAACTGATTTAGTTTAAATCATTTCACTAAACTTCAGTCTCAGTTCCTCTCCAGATTCAAGTTAACTCACAGTCCCCCAGCATCCCAGGATGCTTTGCACCTCTCCTGCAAACTCACTCTTACAGGGTGGACAGGCTAGCCTTGGCCCAAGCTCTCTGCTCCAGCTGAGCAGGGAGGCATGGTCTAGCACCCCCTGGCTTCTGGCCTGGGTCACTACAGGCATGTGGCTGCATTTTCAGAATCAGAAGTGAATGTCTGTTTACTTGCTTATTTGGTTGAATCTATGCAGCTTAGCCTAACCTACAAAGATTGAATCGATTCAGCCTTGTGCTTTTTGACTGCTTGTACTGAGCCCTAAAGTTCAGCTTCTGCACATGCTCAGACTTTCTGTGCCCCCCTCCCCCACACTGAGTCACACATTTCAGAACCTGGAGCTCCTCTAAAGGAATCTAGGATTGATAAACTCAGTGTCTATGTCCTCAGGAACTTAAGCTTCAGTAGGCTTGCAAGAGCCACTCCTAATGCACTGAGAGCGTTGAGTTCATCACCTGTAGTTGCTCTAGAAGGCAGGAAGAGGAAGGGGTGGGAGTGTCCAGCTTTTGCCCAATAGCCTAACCATTAAATAACTCACCCAGAAAATTAGAGGCCTAGGCTTTTGGCCTTCCTCAGCCTGAGGAGATGCAAACCCATTTCTCTTTCTTTTAAGGAGACTGGCCTCAGCACCAGGCTGGGTGGAAGCACCCTACACCCATTCTTTTGAATCAGGGCCACTGGGGTCAGAAGGATAACAAGCAAGAGAGAGCCAAGTTTTGTAGCCTCATGATGAAGGTACTCCTTTGGGAGGGAGAAATCGAGAATTCTGATCTCTGATGCCAGGCTTATTTCTATTTTCTAACCAATGCCTGTCTAATGTAAAATGAAGAAACATTCTTTGCAGTAGGTAAATAGAAATACATGATGATGAAGGAGTTTATGAAACAATGTAAAAACACTGAAGAATTGTTCAATGTAATCCATTAGGGCTATCATAATTTGAAGGAATGGGATAAACCTGAGAAAATGAAGTTTTTGGGTGCACATCAGGAAAATAATCCTATCTATGAAGACTTACAAATATTATAAGAAATTTCCCAGTAAAGTAATAGAAATGCAATGTAATAGTAATAGTAACGCAATGCAGTGTAATAGTAAAGTAATAGTAATGCATCAGTGTGGTGCTCAGCCCAGGCTAATTAGCCCTACTACAAAGCAGATCATATTGGTCCAGGTAGAGCACCATGCCAGCTTAGTTATAATGTGTTTAGTACTTCTACTCTGAATGAGCTATTTATGTATCTGTCTGGCACTATATTGCGCTGCAGTGTAGTACAGTGCAGTGTTAACAACAGTTCTGTTCTATAGTGATACTATGAAGGGAAGATAAGTGAAATTAATGTAATGGCTCTTTAATACAATATATGTAATCTAACCAGGAAATGAAAATAATACAATTATGATTAAGTAATTCTAAAATGATTGCTTTACCTCATTGAAGAGCTGAGTTAAAGTTGTGTGGGCATCTCAATTGCATTTTTAACTTAACATCTTTAGATTTCTTTTCAGTGCAACCAGTTTAGAAGAGCACTATAAGATTTCCACCCTTAAATTTTTTATACTGATATTGTCAATTTTAACTCAAGTTTAGTTCGGTTTTTTTCTTTAAAAAACCTGGAAGTTTATAATCAGTGTTGTTGATCATATGTCCTTCTAAAATAAGTATAAATACTACTTATATAGTTTTATATCATCCCCTTGCTATAACATTGTGAATTATACTGTGTGGGATTAGGCATAACATTTAAAAAATGCCTAAATGTCTTAGGACCCTATATTGTATTGGCTTTTAATGGGACTTGAGGTTCTAAATTATTTAGATTATTAGATGATCTGCTAATATGATATCAATCAACAAGGTACATTCTGTTTAAAATAAACAATTTCATTTTATAATGAAATAATTTAAACACCTGTCTAAAACCAAATATTCTGAATACTTGTACTTACACAAATAGATTTACAACCTGGATTCACCTAGGAACAATTCTGCACTCAGTTATTTGCACAAACATATGTAGGCCTTTCAGACATCTAAATGCTTTAAGTTATCTCTGCAGAGCTTTGGTGAAAAAAATAAATCAGTCTGTTTCCTTATTATCATTTGTTTAGATTTCATCTCTATTTTTAATTACTACTACAGCCAAGCCTACTGATTGTTTTTGCACTGTAGAATTAGTGAACTCAGTAAATGGACAAAATGATTCATTACTCCCCCGTCCAGTGGGACTTACTATGAATTTTTCATCCTTAGCCCTATATTCCTGCAAAAGATTTCTGGGTGGATGTGGGTTAAGGAGGATAATTCTAATTGTAACTAGTGCAGAAACATGGGTCTCCATATGTTGTCATGCTCCAAATATAGAATTTGTGTAATTTGTATAATACACCCAAAGGATTCATGGATCTCTAAGAAAGGAATGTGGTTTGGATAAAAAGCAGACCAATTTGTGTATAGTGCGCAACGGATGCATTTTATCTTTCTCTCACAATTTGTGAATTTGTGATGTCTGCATCAAACAGAAAAAAGAATCATAATATTTTGGGTGAAATATCTGTCCTCAGCAACTCCAGGGGATGCAGAGAAACACTAGGAAATTTGTTGACCATAAATCCACATTGTGCATACATAGGGTGTGTTCCCACAAGTGGAAACATTCATTTCCCCTAGGACAAATAGCAGCGGCACATATTTGTGCCGCTGCTACTGGTCGCCAGGGAACACCCTGGCATGCATGCTCTGGCACATGGCAAGTTGCTTCAGGTGGAGTAGGTGAGGTTGGGAGTTGCAGTGACAGCAATCCAGGTGCATGGTGCCTGACTGGCAGCTGGAGTGTAGCTTTGGTCAGCCAGGCTCCAGTTTCAGGCAACCCATGCTGTTGCCCCACATGCTGACCTGCTTTTTTCTCATGCAGGTTTTTTTTTTTTTACATGGGAAGATCTCAGTGTCACCTGCCGCACTGCTAATTAGCAACATAGCACATGCATGTATGTGCAGCATGTGCAGTTTTTAGCACTGTAAACTGCACATGTGCACTTGTGGGGATGTGCCCATATTGTTCAGTACTGATGAAGACCTTAAAAGTGATTGTGGGACTTCCCTAGAGGACATGTTTTATAAAATGCCATAGAATCAGGCTGAGAGCTTGCAAAAGACAGCAACGTTCATGTCTCATTTTTATTTCAGGAAATGCCTTACACAAGCATATAGGGTGTGATCCTTCAACCTGATCCTGAATCAATGGAAAAGTTTTCTAGTACAGGATCTGGCCTTCAGAAATTCCTAAAGCATCACCTTTAATCAGGAACACACTCAGATATACAGATGAAAATGATTTTCTTCCCTATTAAGATATGCACATAGGAAAAGAGAAATAAACACCACCTGTTACCTACTAGAGCTGTGCGAAACAGCTGTGTTTTGTTTTATATCTGGATTTGCCCATTTTGGAGGGCAGTGATTCATTTTGGTGTTTTGGATCACTGCTCCATTTCGATTCGGCTGAATCTGTTTCGGAGTTTCGACGCTGTTTCAGAGACTTGGATCAGCTGGGGAGAGGCAGGCACAGCCGGGTGGCTGCAGGTTCTCCCGCAGCTCCTCCAGTTGTGCTTGCCTCTCCTCTGGCAGGGGGAGCAGTGGGAGTAGCCCTGCCTGGCCCTATCCCTTGCCTGGCCAAGCTGCTCAGCAATTAAAAAAAACAAAAAAAAAAGCCCCACATCCACTGGCTGCAGCAGCAGCAATCTGGCCCGATTGCCACTGCCAGAGCCGGAGTGTGCGGGGCTTTTTTTTTTTTTAACGTGCTGGGAGGTTGGGGCCAGGCAAGGCAGCCATGGGGGCTTCTCCA